AGGAACTGTTCATGTGCATAAAATTAAGCTTTTGCACATTTTACTACGTTGGGCCTTATTCTGTTCTGAGATGAAAACTGAACCTTGAGGTTTTGATGTATTTTGCTTCCTAAATGTCTGACAGTAGGACTTCCTCATCCCTTCCAGACCTCTGCATCGCAAAGGAGAGGATCCCTGTAATCTTCTCTGGGGTTCTTGGCACTTTTAGTCTTTAGACCTAAGTTTTTCCCACTTGACCTCACATACATAACAGAAATTTTAGTGGAAGTCCAGGAGATGTCTTCAGGACATGGTACTGCCTATATAGGTTCAGGTAGACCTAAACCTTCCTCCCAGATATGTGTCTAATTGGTTGTTACAGCCCAGTGATGGGACTCAGTGCTCTTCCTGAGCAGACCATTCATCTACTTTGCTGTCCTGATTTATAGAGGTTTTCTTCATGTCTACTCTAAAGCTCCTTTGCTCTCATTTTAGCCATTACCTTCTTTCCCATCCCTATTGAAAACCAAGAATAGTTTAGGTGATGTCACTTGGAGATAAAGTTTTCATTTTGAAAAGTTGCTGTCCTCTTTTCCCTAATGTTCTTATCTCTAAACCAAAATCAACCCATTTTCACTTTCTTTTTTCCCCTAGTTAATGTTTTATGGACATGCTGTCTGTTCCTAACTTTTTAGAATTGCCAGCTGTGTAAGAAGAGAGAATGTCTCTAAGGGCAGTTGTGTACACCTGAATATGTGAGGAGAAGCTGTACATTAAGATTTGAATACATTTTCAAGTAACACTAACAGAAAATAATGACTGTTAATTTTTTTTCCATTGAGGTTGCTGCAAAAGAAAATATGCACTAAACACTAGAAACTGCTGTAAAATAAAAGTATGTCTATTTTCCAGTGCTGTTAGTAAGCATCATCTCACAGTGTGTTCATTATAATTGACAAGTTCTTTGTCAAACAGGCATAGGGTGAGTGCCTTCAGCTACTCAATTTCTGCTCCTTTGCTGTGTTGGCAGGAGAGTTCCACTGCGGGTTTGAGGACGGGAACATCTGCCTTTTCACTCAAGACGACACGGACAATTTTGACTGGACAAAACAAAGCACTGCCACCAGAGACACAAAGTACACCCCAAACACGGGCCCCAATGCGGATCGCACGGGCTCCAAGGAAGGTAGGATCCAGCCATTCCCCTGCTGCTCCGCTGGGCTGAGGGACCTGTCCAACTCAACCAGCTACCCCATTTTTCGTGATATATTCCATATTTCCAAGAATAAGCATACTTCAAGGACTTTTAAAAGAAATTGCCGGTACTGAGGCGTGCGGCTGGTCCCAAAGCACAACCCGCTAACGGTGCCATTAACCATCTTGTATTGTTTCTGTTGTGCCATTTGCAAAGCGATTGCTTTTGTGTTATAGTCTAGTGGGGAAATATCCTGGCACATCTTGAAATATTCTTCTGTTTTATGCCATTGAAATTCTAACTTGGACTCTTTCAGACTGTCACAGTGAGATATTTTTTTTTGCCCCATTTTTACTTTGGGTGATGTTAAAATGTGTAATTTTCAATCTGCTACCCTGGTTAACGGAAGCATGCCATCTTGACTGCAGTGGATATTTGCATTTGAAAAATCAGACATATTTTGCTGAATTTATCAAGCACTGCAGTGTAACTCATGTTATTTTATTGTATGCCCCCTGCTTGCACTACCAAAGGGGAAAAATTCACACTGCATTGTATTTGCTTGGTAGGATTAAGTAAATGCTATTTGTGTTGTTGGCACAGTGCAGGATCAGAATAAATGAATATTGTTCTCCTTCGCCAAAGTGAGCTTTCAAACATGTGATTGACATGGGCAGTTGAAAATGTTCTGTGAAACGTTTCCATCAATATGTTTTCCCTGTATTTTAAAAGTTTTCCCTGCTCAATGCTTATAGGAACAAATTGCAACCTTGAGACTGAAGTCTTAACCCCATTATCAAGATCTTTTTCTTTTCTTGTGCATACACAAAATTATATTGATTTGCGGTTGTTTACGAATACTGACCTGCTAGCCACTGTTTTACTCACGGTAGAAATCACGTCTTTGAAGCAGTTGTGGAAATCACATGGGCTTAATGCGGAAGAAATATGTCCTAGAAACCATGATGATGTCAGATGAATATGAAAAATGAATCAAGATGCTTGATAGCTCTGGTGTCTTCCTGCATGTCTGTGTTTTGAATTTTGAAAACTTCAACCTAATGATTTCCATTTGGATTCCCCTAGGTTTCTACATGTACATTGAGACGTCGCGCCCCAGGCTAGAAGGAGAAAAGGCCAGACTTGTTAGTCCACTGTTCAGTGTCGCCCCAAAAAACCCTTACGGAGCTACAAACACAGCCTATTGCTTTAGCTTCTACTATCACATGTATGGACAGCACATAGGTGAGAGAGAGCCGATGGCCCTGTCTTTTCACTGGGGGAGAAATAGCAGGAGAAACGTCCACTTGTATGAAACAAAAGGGGGAATGAGTGGCTGGAAAGCTGCTTGGTAGAGAGGGACTTGGGGGTGCTGGTCAACAGCAGCTGAACATGAGCCAGCAGAGTGCCCAGGTGGCCAAGAAGGCCAACACCATCCTGGTCTGTACCTGCACTGGTGTGGGCAGCAGGAGCAGGGCAGGGATCCTTCCCCTGTGCTTGGCACTGGTGAGGCTGCCCCTCAAATCCTGGGGTCAGTTTTGGGCCCCTCACTCCCAGAAGGACATTGAGGGGCTGGAGTGTGGCCAGAGAAGGGCAATGGAGCTGGGGAGGGGTTTGGAGCACACGAATGATGGGGAGCGGCTGAGGGAGCTGGGGAGTTCAACTGGAGAAGAGGAGGTGAGGAGAGACCTTATCCCCTCTGCAGCTCCTGAAAGGAGGGGGTAGCGAGGTGGGGTCGGTCTCTGCTCCCCAGGATCAAGTGATGGGACAAGAGGAAATAGCCTCAAGTTGTGCCAGGGGAGGGTGAGATTGGATCTGAGGGGAAATCTCTTCCCCAAAGGGTTCTCAGGGACTGGAAGAGGCTGCCCAGGGCAGTGGTGGAGTCCCCATCTCTGGAAAGGTTCAACAGACGGTAGATGAGGTGCTGAGGTATATGGGTCAGTGGTGGACAAGGCACGGTTGGACTCAATGATCATAAAGGTCTTTTTCAACCAAACAATTGTATGAGTCTATGAAAAGCACAGGAGGGCTGCCAACACCTGCAAGGGCCAGTTGCAACTGGAGCTGGTTAAGAGAGGTGCCTGATGGCATCCTAATTACTGTACAAGTGTGTTTTCCATTAATCAGCATGCTAGCAGGAGCTCCTCTTACAGCAGGGAAGTGTTTCAGGCATGCGTGAGGTTTTGAGCAGGGACCTTTGGAGCATGGAGACAGGAAAGGTGATATCTGCAAGGACTTTAATGCGAACATGGTGTTTTGAGTCACTCCTTGCTAGATTTGGGAGCAACTTGCAGCAGCACACAGCTCCTTTGTGAAAGTCAGGACCAATTTGCTCACAAGCTGTGGGAATGTGTATTTTCAAGGTGTATCTGAGAGTCTTATTTTTTAGTCATAGCTCTTTCCACACACGCATTTTAGTTTCTTTGCATAGTATGAAAGAGGCGTGGATAAATATAAAAGTATGAGTGATAGACTGCCGATTTTTATAAATCCTGTAAATCCCTGTGGGGTGCCCAGTGCTTACCAGTGTGTCAGGAGGCTTTCCAGTGCCAGGCTGACCTGACTGGATGGATTTTTCTATTTCAAGGGCAAGCACATCCTCACAGTGCATTCTGGTGGTGGCTTTGGGAAACCTTCGCCTGCCTCCGGGTTGAATTTGGGTTTTAAATAGAGCAGACAAGTTCTCTTATTTTTGGGTAGTTGCCTCTGCTTTGCTGAGCATGTGAGGTCTGAATTCCCCACAAACTATGGCCTTTCATTGGTGCAATTTTGGTTTTCTTCCCAGGCTACTTAGTTCCTTAGTTTTTTTGTGCTGAGATTGCCCTTTCTTGTGTATGTGTAATGTCTTGTATGAACATGTATAATCCTGGTTATGAAGGAGCTGACCCACAGGTGAAGATGGTGACAATGATGATCAGTGATCACAGTTACACAGGACATTTCTGTGGCAATGTGGACACCTAGTTGTCGAAACCCAAAATTGCTCAATATCACTTTTGTTCCTTAATGTTAAAAAACACAGTTACCATCCTTTTAGCAAATGTTCAAAATTGTCTACTTTTGGATGGCATTATACAAAATTACTTATCATTCTGTCTTTAATGAGCAGAGTGACAAGAAGTAGTAACTTAATAACATCAGCTGTGTGTTTGAATGCATGCTTGTACATGTCATCTAAATTCAGTATTTTAATTCCTCATAATGACAACAAAATGTTATGAAATGTGAGAACGCAACATGCGTACAAGAAATATATTGTGAAATCAGCAAATATATACTATTTGAATCCCCACATGTGAAACCATTCACATGAGGATAATGAAAATAAAAACCTAACGAGTGACGATATTCTAAGACCACAATTATTTAAGTACATGTATGAATAGTTGTATTGGTGAGGTAACCACTTGAATGAGTTTTTAAGGTCTTGGTGGTCTTGGAAATTACTTTGGCGTAGGAGAGGGGTTATTACAACAGTATGATTTGCCCAGATGAATCAAACCTAATCATAACCCAGTGTTTCAGAAGATGGACCCTTGTGGTAAGGATGGCCACCACCCTCTTGGCCCACATCAGGCAGATCATGGCCAGCAGGGAGAGGGAGGGGACCCTGTCCCTCTGCGTTGCTGGGATCCCCAGTACAAGACAGACATGGTCTTACTGGAGAGAGTCCCGCAAAGGTCCACAAAGGTGATGAACGGGCTGGAGCATCTCTCATATGAAGGGAGGCTGAGAGCTGGGGCTGCCCGACCTGGAGAGAAGGCTCAGGGGACCTCATCAGTGTTTATGAATACCTGAAGGGAGGCTGTAAAGAAGATGGAGCTCAGAGGTGCTCAGGGACAGGACAAGAAAACAGTGACCACAAATTGAGCTAGAGACAATTTTATTTAAACATAAGAAAAATATTTATTTTTACTATGAAGGCGGTCAACCACTGGCACAGTTTGCCCATAGAAGCTGTGGAGTCTCTGTCCTTGGAGATATCCAAAATCTGACTGTACATGTTCCTGGGAAACCTGCTCTGATCTACCATGCTTTGAGCAGGGGTTTGGACACTACAGCCTCTAACCTGAACGATTCTGTGGGAAATTTAATTTGTAGTATTGTTTTCAGAAAAATTAAATTTCATTAAGGCTTGATCCCTTGTGGATAATTCTAAGTCTTACTGCTAAAACAGATTGACTGTCCTGTCACGAGCTGTTAGGAACCTGGAGCCTTCACTGCTGCTCGGGAATTTCCAGCCAATATACAGAGGGTGCTGCTTATCCCCATTTTGGGATGAGCTCTGCCCATCGGCGCAGCTCTTGGCTGTAATTTGCGCTGCCAGATCATGGATTTCTTCCCAGGAGCAGGGTGGGAGCTGTTAATCGAGCCCTCGGTGTGACCTCTGTGCTGAAGGCTCTTTCTCTTGAATAACCTTGAGCCACTGATTGTTGCCCTGACTTCACTGAAAATGTGAAGTGGCTTGCAGAGGAATTTGGCTTAAATAAATTCCAGCCTGTTCCTTCCTTGGGCCTGGGGACAACACATTCAGGGAAGATACGTGGCCATTAAACTTTGATTTTTCACCCAAAATGCTGTGTGTTGTTCAGCAGACTTTGGTGCTGCAAGTCAGCATTTCCACTGGGTTGCTTTATTCTCCTATGTTATCAGCATCCATAAGATTTCCAAGCTGTATTAGGGTTATTATTCCAATTATTCCAATAATCTTCATTTCCAAAACAAGGTTTCAAAGGATCTCTAAGAAAATGGAAAATAATATTAGGATGATGTGCTGTCGCTGGTGTGGACTGGTCTTGGAGGCGTAGAGGAAAAGATGCTTCACCCTCCATTCTTAAAAATGAGTGACCCCACTTTGATTCAGAAAGTTAAAGGGATACTTTACCAGAAATAGAGTCAGATTGTAAATCCTGACAGATCACATGGAGCTGATCTTGGGAGTTCTAGCTGCCAGAGAAAGTGCATGCTTCCCTGTGAAAGTGCTTTGCTCCCCATCCTTCAGAAGGAGGAAGGAGATTATCCCAAAAGCAGAAGAGAAATAGAAGTTCCCCTTACTTAATGTGCAGCAAGCAATACTCTGTTGTTGGGGAACAAGAAAATGTCCTTATTGTGTCTCAGCAGTGAGACAGAAAGAGGCTGTACTTCCATTAGAGCTGTCACCATCTTTTAAAACAATCTATATTTCCAGTTTTTCCATCTACACCCCAAAATGGGGCATTTCTAATTGATGCTCCAGGAACAATAATTTTTCTTGTCATTAGACAGCCATCACAGCACAAGAAGCAGAAGCAGAAATGCTGTCAGAGCACACCATGAAAGCTGTTTGTGTTCATACGGTGATGAGCGCTCAAAATGAAACCCCAGGGATGCAGCTGACGGCATCTCCGGAGCACCCTGCGCTCTCCTGCCAGGGGACTGACAGAGAGAAAACTTCACTTCTTAATTCACAGTGGTTACTCCTGCCCACTGTGTCTGTCTCCTGCTCAAGAGTCACTTCATTGCCCATTTGTCTGAAGTTTGGGTCCGATTCAAATCTGTAGATGAGTCCAGAGGAGGCCATGGAGGTGCTCAGGGGCTGGAGCAGCTCTGCTATGGAGACATCTGAGAGAGCTGGAGTTGTTCAGCCTGGAGAAGAGAAGGCTGTGAGGAAACCTTAGAGCACCTTAGGACCTGAAGGGGCTACAGGAAAGCTGGAGAGGAACTTTTTACAAGGGATGGAGTGATGGGACGATGGGTGATGGCTTTAAGCTGGAAGGGGCAGATTTAGATGAGACATGAAGATGAAATCCTTCCATGTGAGGGTGGTGAGACCCTTGCCCAGGTTGCCCAGAGGAGCTGTGGGTGCCCCCTCCCTGGCAGTGCCCAAGGCCAGGTTGGATGGGGCTTGGAGCAGCCTGGGCTGATGGAGGGGTCCCAGCCCATGGGGGGATTGGGCTGGGGGAGCTGTGAGGTCCTTTCCCACCCAAACCATTCTGTGGTTCTACGATACCTGGTACTGTAGTGGCTGTTTTTTATCTTAAGTAAGACTTGCTATCATTCTGCTATTAATTTGAAGAAATTATGTGACAGAGTATGCTGTGAACAATCTCAAATCTCTATACTCTCAGCAGTGATAGGATTACATGTTTTTCATAGCTAAATTACTCAGTTATTCCCAACATCTCTTGCCATTGCTTTTTGTCTGTTAGAAAAATAACATTCTATATAACTTGGTTTTATAACTTTAGGTAGTCTTGTCTAAGACCCTGCCTTTTTTCAGCCCATAGAGCCAGCACAGTTGTTGAAGTCTTGGAGAGAAGCAGATGGGAGAGGAAGGGCAAACTGATATAATATACGGATATGATATGATATGATATGATATGAATAATATAAACTTTGCCCAAGAGCTGTTGAGTTTGGCAGAGGGCTGGGGCTGAGCGGCCTTGCACAGCCCCATGACGTATTTCAAGGCTGCTCCAGGGACCCCTCCAGCATTTCCCTTCTCCAAGCCCTTTCTGTTTCAGGTCTTTTTATTTTCACTCAGTAGCGTGCATGTATACAGGATGTCCTCATCAGGCACCACGTTTCCTTTGTGCTGCTCCTGCCCCGCTCCCCTGTGTTTGGGCAATCAAATGCTGCAGTGGGAGCCACGGTGCTGCCCAGGCGAGCATCGTTTCCCCACCTCCTCCAAAGAAGATGTATGGCCTCATTCGGGGCACCCTGCTGAAAGAGCCGTGATGAGAATATTTGCTGCTCCATTACACGTTAGCCTTATGTTTTTCAAGGCACTGAGTTTTTTCACTATTGCTAGAAATAAGAACTTTTTATTACTGGGAGCTGAGTCACCGTGCAGCTGCCTCAGATCTGAGAGGTTTCATTGCAAATATAATTTGTATGAGCTTCCCAGCTGCCGTGCCTAACACCCATAGAATAACAGTGGTCCTGTGTGAACTCGGCTGTCTGAACTTTCTCGAGTGAAGGCAAATGCAATGATTTACACAGCGCAAAGAGACACCACTGCCCCATGCATCTGCAGATACCAGTGGTGGGCAAGAATGTGTGAATTACTGAGCCATGATCAATGAATTCGATGCATTTGGTGTCTCTTGGTGCACTCAGTCAGGCTGGTTTCTGTCTGTGGTCTGGGACAGTAAGGTTGACCAGGGAGAAGGGTGTTGAATGCAGATAAATAATGCCTGTGCTGGAACCAGTAATGTAATGGTCAGCAGTGGGGAAAGACCCAGGTCTGTGGGATTTGTCTCCACAGTGAGCGGCTTCACCAAGTTTATTTTAACTCAGAGAATTACGTTGTCCTTCAGAAATGCTCCCTAGCAGAAGTAAGGGTGTCCCATCTCTCTCTGATTTACCAGATTCTGTGGTGCTCTGTTAGTTAAACGTTGTGCAGAGTTAACACAAAGTTGGACAGTCTGTATAAGCAAGAGCTAAGCATAAAGCAACCAAGTTGCTTATTTACCCTTGTGTAAGGAGGTTATAAATGCCTCATTTGCACTAAAGCATGGAAAACGCCTTTTTGCCCATTTTGCCCTGGGAAGCCCTCAGTTTACCTCTGCTGAGAATTCCCATCACCAGTTTATGGTGTTCCAAAGTTTAAAGTTTTTTGAATTTATGACCAGAAACTCTCAGCATCTGCTCAGACCCAGCAGAGACCCATGAAAAACAGGGAGTGGGGGATGAACAGGGGGGTGCTGCTCTACCCAGCATCTCTGCTCCACCACAGCCTCACCACCTCCACTTCTCCTCCTCTCTTCCAGGGAGCTTGAACGTTTACCTGCGGCTGAAAGGCCAGACCGCCATAGAAAACCCCCTGTGGTCCTCAAGTGGAAATAAGGGGCAGCACTGGAACCAAGCCCGTGTTAATATAAACCCCCCAACTTCATTTCAGGTAATGGCTTCTGCGTCGCACACCGGGAACGGGGATATTCAGTCTTCAGAGGTAGGGGGGTGCTGTGTACATTGTCCCTTTCCTTCTGACACAGGGTTTTACAGCTTCATTTCAGCTCTGAAAGTTGCTATATGGAGAGATAATTGCTTTCCTTGCTTTAAATAGGTGAGCACCATAGAGTCTAATAATGCACAGTTTAATGGCAGAACAGCAGCTATTTACCTGAAGAAAAAACGTCTTTCGGATGGTAGCCAATATAAAATGCCAGTATAAAATGCCAATATAAAGATGCTGGTAGCCAATATAAAACCTTTTATAATTGCAGATTAGCAACTGGAATACAAAATTGCTTCCTGCAGAAAAAATACTTCGGGTCCATGGTGCAGTGTGTTAGAGGTCTCTAGAAATAGATGCATTCTGCAGAAAAAGGAGTGACTTGAATGGTCTTTGCTGAAAGGCACCAAAGCAGAAGTGCTGCCTGCACAGAGCCTCTGGTACGGCCAAGCTGGGTGTCTCAGTCGCTGGACGCACGCACGCTGTGACAGGTTTTCACATGTTTCATTTTGGGTTTGACAGCGAGATGCTGATAGGCTGTTACGGGCAGTTCTCATTCATGCTGTGAGCTGTTTGTAACTGGAACAGACCCAAAAAGACGGCTGCCGCGAGCGAGCCCGCGTGTCTGCGAGTCTGTGAGGATCGCCATGGATGATGCAATGCAATCTTCTCCAGGCTCCTCCATCCCCTCGCTGTGACCTCCGGGTCCCCTGAGGGAGATGATGGCTGTTGGGAACAAGAGTCACTCAGTGCGAGTCAAAGCTGTTATCTGAAACACGCAGATTGGGATGTTCTTTATGGGTAATTACTGATCCTCAGCCTTTGCTTTTATTTCCATGCATGAGAGGTAATGACAGAAGAGAAATAATTTGGCATACGTGATCCCAGAAACATTGCATAGTGGGGGAATTAGAAGGAAAATTAAGGAGAGGGCTATGCCAAGTACAACGTTACCTGAGTTTTGAGTGGGACAAAGTGGCAGAACTGGGGAGGAATCATGCAGAGAAGAGGGATGGAGGTGTTACAGCACAGTCAGGTCATGGGGCCAGGTGCAAGGGAGGTGATAAGAGTGGGTGAGGTTTGCACTGGTGAGGTCAGGACACTGAATGATGGCTTTAAACTGATGGAGGGGAGACTTAGATGAGCCGCTGGGAAGAAATCCTTCCCTGTGAGGGTGGTGAGGCCCTGGCCCAGGTTGCCCAGAGAAGCTGTGGGTGTCCCCTCCTTGGCGGTGCCCAAGGCCAGGCTGGATGGGGCTTGGAGCAGCCTGGGCTGGTGGAGGGGTCTCTGCCTATGGGGGGGTGGACTGGGGGCGCTTTGAGGTCCCTTCCCACCCAAACCATGCTGTGATTTTATGACTGGTAAAGGGAGAGAAGAGGTAGCTGGAGAAGCTGAGACCAAAGTTGTGTCTGAGAGGAATTCCTGAGACTTGGGACAGGATTTAGCAGAAGCAGGGGAAGGACAAGGACATCAGCAAAGGATTGGGCACCAGCAGTGCAGAGGAGGGAGATGGGGTCCAAACCTGGGGTCACCACAGCAACATGGAGAAGAAGGCATAGGTTTGGGTGGAAGGGCAAGCTGGTGGAGCCAGAGCATCAGCCCTTGCACAGGGCCCCATTGTTTTCAGAAATTATACAGGAGTCACTTCTGTTGCTGGTGCACCTCGCTCGTGTTGCCTTGAAACCACATCCACTGGTGCCAGAAGCTGTGCGCAGCATGGAAGCTTCTCCACTTGGCTATTTTTCACCTTCTACATTGTTGTGTTCAAAGGCTTAGCATAAAATGAACGTAAAGCCATGAAACTCTGCACAAATTCAACAAATAAATGTCAGAGTGGTCAGAACCTTAAATTGCTTTTTTAGCAGCTCTTGCAACAAACAAACTTTATTTTCCATTCAGAAGCCTAAGTAGGAAAGGATATAAACCTCCCAGTTAAAGTTAAGGAGAGTGATTTGAAGTGAATCTTTGCAATAAAACAGTACACTGACACAGAAATTAGAACTTTTTATAGGTTAATTTATATGGGTAAAAGTGCAGCCCAGATTTGATTTATGCCTTCCCAGTCCCTGTGATATATGATAAAGCTTCTGGCATGAAGAACTGAGAGGACTACAGTGCTTCGAGTCAGAAAAAATACTGCATAAAAGCTATCTCTATAAAATACTCACTTATTAAATAGTTTTAAAGAATAAACACAAACATAGAGGGGTTGCTCTGCCCTTAAATAAATGACCCTGCCATACCGCTGAGATTTTCAGCCCTGGACTTACACCTTCGTCATTGCACCGTCCGGCTGGGACATTTGTGAGGCTCCTCTCTACTTCTTATTGTGAGACTGGCCAGGAAGGTAACATCTGTCTGAAATCCTGATGAAGGAGCACAAGCAGAATCCCCCGGAGACACTTGGAATAACGCTGGACAGTGTGGGACTGTCCCGGTTTTGCTGGGATTGAATTGTAGAATTCCATTTTCGGTTCAGCCGAACTGCATTTCTGAGAGAATGACAGTGTTCGATTTATCACAAACAAGTTGTTGTTATAGCTTTAGTTAGGATAGAGTTACTTGTTCTCGTAGTCACTGGTGAGACTTTGTTTTGGATTTATGCTAAAAGCAACATTCATAGTGCGCAGTGTTTGCATTAACTCAAGGTTTGTTTTTCAGTCTTTGCTGAACCTGTGGCCATAGTTTCTTTTGGTTTGGGTTGGTTTGGGTTTATTTTTTAAATTTTGCTTCTCTGTGCACAAAAGGAAGGGAGGCAAGTGAAAGCCCAGGATTTTCTGGAACAGATGACCCAGGACAGATGATCCGTGTGTGATCTAAGCTGACCAATAAAATGCATACTATCCTGTAGATAGCACATCGCTATAAATTGGAGACTTTGCAAGGGAGACCCCCTTCTCTCCTATTCTTTATTTCTTCTGTGATGGTGACCATCTTGTCTAGCTCGTTTGGTTTCTGAGCCTCACCTCTCCCTTGTTGCATTTTTGTTGATGCACAGCCAGCAACTGCTGTTTGAGACCGGTGTATGACTTTGATTGCTTTATTATCGTTTATCCTATTTTTGTTACAATTCATTATTATTATTATTATTATTTCAGGTTTTATTATTTTAAATATTGAATATTCTTTATCTCAACCAGATGAGTTCTTTCACTTTTACTCCCCCAACTCTCTCCCCTGCCCCACCGGGGAGCGGAGGAGTGAGTGAGTGGCTGCATGGTGCTGGGTTAAACCACAACCGGGCTTGTTTCCATTCCCCCTGTTCAGGGAGCAGAGTGGCCTTTGCTGTACCTGTAAGTCCCTCCATTCTCTCAGCGAATCGCAGTATTTTTAACAGCAGCTTTGTAAAGTCACAGTCATGCAGATAATAGGTTTTGCGGGATACCGATAGGGGATTCTGATCATCTGGCACCTCCTGGAAGTAGCTGTGAGCTGCGGCTGGATGGTGCCAACACTCATCTGCAGTGATTTGTTCAGAGAGCGTGGCCAAGCTGGCGAAGAGCAACCTGTCTCTGAGGCCCATAAAACACACTGCCAAATGCAGATTTTAATTAAACGCTGGCCGTTGTATTTGTACAGAGTCCTTTTGTCTGGAAACAGTGTTTTTCATTATCAGGAAGGATTTGACTTTAAACTCCGCTGACTGGTTGCATGCCTGCTGCCAAGGAGCAGGAGGGCAAGCTGCACTTTGGCGGAGAAGGGAAGACACTTTCCTCTCGAGCTGAATACTTCCCATCACCAGAGGCAGAGCCGAAAAATCATCAGAGGGATAATTACTTGAAACGCTGTTTTCAGACAACAGGGTAAATTATGGAAAAACTTACTGTTTCCCCAATTACAGTTCCCCATTGCACTAATATCCACCTTGTTATAGTAATTAACCTACAGTGGTGCACTTCAATAAAACACTGATGGAGTCCCTGCTCCAAATGCGCAGCTTTCGTGTTTATTTAGTGCTCCCAGCACAGACCTTGCCGCCTGGCTTAGGACACGTCAGGAGATGCGTCCATGGCCAAGGCTGAGGGACACAGCAAGGTGGAGCGGGAATTGGCCATGCGATGCAGCGCCTGGTGGCATCCGTTGTGAAGTGGTCCTTGGGCGATACCCGCCCTTGGGTGATACCCATCCATCTGGGTGAGCTACCAGGCCCTTGTGATCTACGGGGTCATCTTCCACTGCCCCGTGTGTTTACTCATCATTTTTTAATGAAAGGTACCCATTTCAGACAAGCAGCTCTGGTTGAACCGTATTAATGAGCAAAGAAATGTCGGAAGCTGCCGGAAGGAGAGGCTGGGATCTGTGTCCTGGTGAAATCAATAACAACAGAGCGCCTGTCCACGTGCCCCAGACATCTCCTTCACGCAATTGGATCATTAGGAAGCATAATTTAAGTATTTTGCTCCAGATGGAATTAATATGTTGGGTTTTTTTTCAAATTGACTCTACCCCCAATAGTTAATGTCTCCATTAGTGCCACAGCATGCCCTTAGAAAATTCATTGAATTTCATGCATATATTGTTGCAGATTAAAGTTAAAAAACTTGTCATCGAAGTTATCCAAAAATATTTCAAAGGACTGAAGCGGGGGGGAAGGGGAGGGGGAGATAACTGTGGAAATGGTGCTGCTTAGGAAATATATTCCTTACATAATTCCTTCTTCTCTTTAGGAGGGCTTTGAAGTTTCCTAGTGAATAAATTTCTCACAACACAGAATGAGTCCACTCTTCTGCAGAGCTAATTAAGCAGCAGAATGGCAGGACTGCATCCCGTTGGGTCTGGGGAAGGAGAGTGGATAACTTTGTTTCTTTAGCACAAGTAATCCATACCTTACAACAAACATTATGGCAAATAAAATTAGTGACCTTGCAACAAGCCACCCATCTCCATACAGGCAGCATTTCTCTTCCCAACCATAGCAGTTGGGGTTTCACACTAGGAATATTTGACAGAAAGTGATTAATAGAACCTTGAAATCACAGGCATCCTTTTAGCAGGGGTTAAAGCCTTAAAGAGGAATTAAATCTCTACCCTGACCCTCTCTGTGTTAAAACATGCCACAATGTCCTCTAATAAATATAAAACAATTCCTAGAAAGGCTTGAAGCTCCCAGACACAGTGAGGAGCCACTAAAAGGGGCAGGAGAGAAGCAGGACTGTCGCTGTCATCAGTTGGGCCACCTTTGAGAGCCACAAACCTGGTTTTCGTGTGGAGTTTCTCTGACTCGTGTGTTTTCCTGCAGTCTGTGATCCAGTGGATGCTCAGTCTTCCAACACTTGTAGATGCTGCTCTTCAAGCTGTGCCTGTGCTGCAGGTGGCAGGAGTTGCTGAGAAAAACACCCCGAATATTTTTAAAACTTTTCCTCCTTTTCATCCTGCTCCTTGCTTCAGGAATATTTCACTTACATACTTTACAGTTAGCACAGTGGCAAAGCTGACCTGGAGACACCAGGTAGACAACAAGGCAGACGAGTAGCAGCTTTGATATTTTTTGGCTCATTTGGAAGTGTAAAAGCCTCCACAGCTCACACATCCTCTTGTGTTCACCTTACAATTACATATGAACTTTTTTCTGTGTCTTTTTGCGCTATAGAAAGTGTTTGCAAATTGTTCCGAGCCCATAGATGTTGTTTAATGCCAAACAAAATGCAGCTGAGTGGTTTCCTCTGATTTGCTGCTACTTTATATTCTTTTTGCAGCTCATATTTGAAGGGATCCGGGGCCCTGGCATTGAAGGGGATATTGCTATTGATGATGTATCGATTGTGGAAGGAGAGTGTATGAAATCAGACCAACCGGCCAACAGTAAGTAGCTCTTCCACGCATGGGAAAGAGCAAATTGCTTCTCATGGTTATAAATTTGAGACCTCTTCTAAAATAGATTTTCCCCAGGAGAACAATGTGCTGTCCAGTTTAGTTGGAAAAGCTTAAAGTGAAAAGTTTTCCTTGGAAGGAAGCTCTGGAGTCAAAATGTCTTTGCTCAGAT